GCAAAGAAAAATGAACTTAAGCAATTCATTGAAAAGTTTCCCTGCTATGAGTCTCATTATGCCCGAGAAAAAAGCAATCACAGGAAATATCTTTCTCCTGACTTGAGTCTTGGTAAAATGTACCAGTTATACAAAGAAGAGACGAATAATCCTCTGTCCTATTTTGTTTTCCGTGAAACTTTTAATAAAAAATTTAACTTGCACTTTCATCCCCCAATTACAGACTCATGCAAGCAGTGTGACTTATTTAACGTTCAAATAAAAGCAGCGGATGAAAACAAAAGAAAACTACTTGAAACTGAAAAAGAACTTCATCAAAGGAAGGCTCAGAGTGCTAGGGATGGCTTAAAATATGATACCGAATTAGCAAAAAGAGGGGAAGCTTCGGTCATTACTTTCGACTTGATGAAGACTCTACCTACGCCCGTACTGACTACTGGAATTTGCTATTATAAAAGGCAATTATGGACGTATTGCTTTAATATTCATGACATGGGTACCGATAATTCATTTATGTTTGTGTGGGATGAAACCGTTGCCTCTAGAGGTCCTCAAGAAGTGGGATCTTGCATTTTATTTTATATAAAAAATTTTGTTAATTCAAAAAAGTTCATCATGTATTCCGACCAATGCGGAGGACAGAATCGCAATATAAAGCTTTCATTGTTATGTAATGTAATAATTTTAACATTCTCTTAGTTCACCGAGAGAACATAACCTAGAATTTGTGACAGAGAGATTTTTTGTTGGTGAAAATCTTATCTTAAACCGTTTTGTTTACTTCCAAATGTATCAATTATTATAGTTCAGCTCCTAAAGCACATTTTTCATCCATCTTTTGAGGTTTTAACGTTATTTTGAGGAAGAAATCCTTGATTTAAATTTGAATTTTTCTAACTTTACTCATTGTTGAAATTTGGCGTGTACTCCAATGTATGTCTAAAAACAAGAAAAGACAACGTTGAATACGAAGTTTTATTACGTTTCATAAAGGAATAAGGGAGAAATCAACGAAAAAAGAATTAAATTTTGAAGGTTAATTCCGAGAAAAATCAAGAGATGACGCTAGTTTCGAAGCAAGAATTTTGAATTTTGAAAAGGGCGCGAAGCTAAGAGCCAATCAGAAACGAGGAAAAAACAGTTGGAGTGCCGGGGTATATAAGGAGATCGCGAACAGGGAGTGAAAGAGTCGTCGTCTGACCAGCGTCGAATCCACGTCGTCAGATAGAAGAAATTTTGAATCTCAAGAGATAACCTCAAAAATTTAAGATAATTTTTTAAAGTCAAATCAACTTACGATATTAAAATAAAAAGAGAATCATCCTACAACCTATTCCGAGAACTACTGATACTTCTTCGAGATCATCCAAGACCCTATTTCCGAAGAACAAACAGTTCAATTACCCGTAAGAAGAATCCTGTAGACAATCCAGAAAATTAGTTAGTGCCCCGAACACAAGAGACAATTCCATAATCCAGATACCACATTGAACTCCAATCCTTTCTTTTTTACAGTGAGTCGGATGATAATTTTATTTTATTATTTAACATAACCTACAAAAAGAAAATTCAAAGAATCAAACTCAAAGAACAACTCACAAGAGTTTCCTATAATTTTGATCAATACTTACTTGTGTGTAAAGATTTATTAGTTTTCTTGAATAACGTTTATTTATTTAATTCTATTTTGTTTTTAACGAGTTTGATGACAATTTAAGACATCGGCCATTTGTTATTTTCAAAGAACGGTTCTAACTAGTTTTATCCTACTCTCTCTCTCAAATAATAAACGGGTTCTCTCTAATATCGATATTTCAGTCGATAACCGCAGTTATCTATTTTATTTTAAAAATTTATCTCTCGTAAATAAGCATTGTTATTAAAGTTAATTTAGGAAAACCATTTTTTTTGTTGTTACTCATAAAACGAGTTAATTTGATTTTGTATTAATTAAATGAATTTTTTGTCGAACCTGATTAATATTCTTTTGAACCTGAACTTGCCCGAAACCCTGAGTTTTTTTAATAAGAGTCTCTTAAAATTAAAGAAACCCAAATTTATAGATTAATAACTTGTGTATAAAACATCACACAAGTAAAACAGCACAGTAATTACATAACTGCCTCTCCGTATTTTAGTGTGGAAGAAATAGATCACAAGTTCTTGGTAAGTGGTCATTCGTACCTACCCTGTGATCAAGATTTTGGGCGCATAGAGAAGGAAAAAAGATTTCATTTGCATATCTTCATACCAGAAGATTGGCACAAAGTTATAAAACATGCTAGGAAAAGGAATCCTTTTAAAGTAATAGAAATGAAAAATTTTTATTTCTTTTCTACCAGAATACTTGAGAATAACATAACTAACAGAAAAGTTTCGGAAACCAAAAGCAAAGTGGAGTGGCTTCGAATTCAATGGTTAAGATTTAAGAAAGACTCTCCCTACACTATTCAGTATAAATATTCAAACAATGAAGACGTTCATTTTGAAACAGTTGATATTGGTAAAAGAAATTCTTCTTCCAAGGAAGTAATAGAACTTCCACTTCTTTACCCAAATGGTAATACTATAAATGAAGCTAAGAAGAAGGATCTTCTCGAGTTAATGAAATTTATTCCTCCCATTCACCAGGACTTCTATAAAAATCTCAAATCGTCAGTACAAGCAACTGGAGGAGATGTGTTTGGACCAGTTGACAACGAAAAGGATTAGAAATTATTTTGTTAAATTTTGTTTATTTTTTCGGTAATTTATTAATAAATTTTGTAATGAAATATTATAGTGTAAAATTTATAACAGTACACAAAGAACTAAAAATATTCTAAATGCAGAGTGGACCAACCCACATTCAAAATACGAAAATAAGTCTCTTGGTCAAATTTTATATAATATTTATGAAATATAAGTGACACGTAACAAACCTTAGTTGAGTTAAGTCGAAATCGTTTAAAATAAGGTAACTGTCGATGAATTAATTTTCATCATTTTTTCAATGTTATATTCTGACATTTCTTAAATTTGGGGTTCGTCCGTTATTGCACTCATAGCCTCAAATAGGCTCGAAACATGCCCTATTATAAGCTAAACTTATTTCCCAAATTTCATTTTCCTGTTGTTTATGGTTTTCGAAAAAAAAAATAAACCAAAATTTTTTGCCATTTTTGAAGGGCCGTAGCTCCGCAGGGGAGTCGAAATCGCTCATAGTTTATATAAGAAAGTACCCGTAAAATTGCCTAAAGAATCACCCCCTGAAGTTTGGGCACGTCATTCAGATACACCTGTATATTACATGACTACTAGATTTTTTTATTTTTAATTTATTTTACTGATTGTAGATTTTGTTTAATAAATATTTTCAAAAGTAATCTAAAGTGTACTTTAATGGACAAATAAAAAATCCACGTTGGGCACACCCAATATCCGCAAAACATCAATGTGTAGAGCGAAATAGTACGGGATACTGTCCTGAGTTCTTACTTTATGAGGAAACCTTAACTGGAGGGAGATGTTTAGATTTTTTCAAAACGATATTATAATAGTGTCCCACCTGAATTCTAATGGCAGTTATTCCAACAAGATGGCGCGCCACCACACTTTAACAATCTTTACTTAATCAGTTTGTAACACTTAAGAAATTGTTTAAAATACTTGGTTACCATAGTTACGCATGGCTACTGCTATTTTTATCATGTCAATCAAATTCGAAGAAGTTAATCTTTATAGTAATTTTTCTCGAAAATTTTCTTATCTAACCAATATTAATATTGAGCGTACCAGAGTCTGAAAAAGAATCACTTTCATATTCCATATTAAAAATAATAGACTGCCATTTGAAAAAAATATCGATGCCGTATTCGAAAAGATTGCAAAAAATTTAAATTTTTAATTTTTCATAATGATTTTATCGCCTATATCTGTTACTTTACGGACATACTGTATATTGCATTGTTGTATCGATAAAATGGTATTTGCCTAAAACAAGCTTAGACAGATACTATTTGTCTTGACCAATAGTATTTGCCTAGACATTTAATGATAAAATTGTAACGAACTACGGTTTGCCTAGGCAGACAGTATCTGACTAGGAAAAAACTATCTACCTGAAATAACCATATGCCTGCGACACATACATAGTTAATTTAGCAAACAAATAAAATAATTCAAATAAACAAAAAAATCTCGTATAACATGGTTTCGATTAGCACTATACGAATTAACTGTGTTATAGGAGGGACCTGTATACCACATTTTTTTATTATAATAGATTTAAAAAAAAAACTACTACTACAATTTTTATAGGAAACATTCTTTCCCCTTTCGAAATAGAAGACTATTTTTTCACACAATAATTGAAATTCATAGGTTCCATTCAAATCTACTACATTATTCATGAGTGCTTAATGAAGATAGGCAGCAAGCTTATAACAAAGACTAAGAATGAGCCTACAAACAAGAATCAAATTTTTAGATTTATATTGAAACATTGTAAAACTTGTTAAAATTATCTGAACACTTCCTAGTTTAGTTTTATTGTTGTAAACAACACTGTACTTGCAGATGTCCTAATAGGTAACATTTCTTTAAGAGTGAAAACTCGCACATTTTTCCCAATAAATTAATTTGCAATTGAAAATTGTATTGTATTGTTTAAAACTTGCTTAATATTTAATGTAATTGATACATCATGCTTTCATTACAATCTATAGGTTATTTATGTATAAAAGATAATATAGAAGGTCTATTATTCAATTTAGAAAAAGTTTTCTTTGAACAGATAAAAACTATTTCATGCACACATTTCTTCAAGTTCAAGCAATTTAGCAAAAGAAGTCTTACAAGATTTTTTTATGGTTTTAAGTGATAATCAGGGTTGGGCATTTTTGCACTACCACTAAATTGCACAACCATTACCACATAGTGAAAAAGAACTTGCATTATCACTAAACCTTTAGTGATAGTGAAAAAAATGCACTACCACTAAACTTTTAGTGAAACATGATCTTTAACTAAACACATTTGGATTTATATTTTGTTCGATATTAGTTATCAACTAGTTTGTTGATAAAAATGCTTCTTGAGGCGGTGTAACTAAACTATGACTTTAAGCCAATCTAGCTAAATAAATCACGACTTCTTGGTGTCAACAGCAGACTCATTTATTTGGCACTCTCGAAATTGCAATGCAGCTCAATAGTAATGAGTATAGATAGGCAGGCGGCAGCGTTGATCCGGATTAACTCGTTAATGCGGAATTATCTCGGGAGTTAGCTGCAGTTCATCCGGATTAAGTTAACAACTAACTAAAAACAACATTAAAAAATATAGAAGTTATACTTGAATGAATAAAAAATTGAATTAAAATTCTACTGGCAGTGGGACTCGAACCGACAACTTCGCGGCACAATTTTGATCAGATCAACTGCACCATTAATCCGGATCAACGTTGCCGCTGTCTATACTCTTAGTTACTATGGATATATTTAAGTGAGTAAATAGGCGCACAAGTACTATTTTTGGTTGAGTGCCGCTCGTGTTTTTTAGTAAAATATTGCAGTGTTCAAAGTGCTTCAGTTTTGTAGTGGACAAAAATTATATTTTATAAAATGAGTGATAATGAAATAGATTTTGGAAGTGACGATTCATTGGCTGATCTCACTTTCGAGCCCAAACCTGGTTCGAGTAAACAAATTCGAATTAATGAAACAACGGAAACTACCAGGTGTGTACGTACTATCAGTGATAATGGGAGTACTGAAGAATTTCATCAAAAGCAACTTTCTGGCGTGAATGAAATTCTTTTTAATGGAGAATTTTTCAAAATAGTGGAGCAGGTATTTTTTAAGTTAAATACTTGCAAATCAAAATCTACATATATTATACGTATACACATATATTTTCATTACAATGTTTATTTAAGAGAGCTTCGACTCCATACCAAATGAAAATGGTAGGTATAATCGAAAATGGTAAGTATGCCTTAAGAAAGTTAAAGGTTCGCTAGGCGTAAGCTCTAACTTTATACACCACTTACGCGAAAAACATCCACGCACATTTAATGATTTTCAAAAGAAAAGATCTGAAACCAGAAAAAGTTTGCGTGCTAGATCTGCAACTGATCGAGATCTTCTTTCTTTTATTTGCGAAACGTGCTCTCCATTCTCTATTATCGAGCATCCTAGTTTCTTAAAATTGCTCCCCAAAGGAAGGATCCCCAGTAGACGTACAATAACCAGAATGCTTTCCGAGAGCCACGCGGAGTTCAAACAAAACTTGTCAGCAGATCTGGCCAAAATTGAATTTATATGTGCAACAGCTGATATTTGGTCTGGAGGAAAAAGAGCGTTTTGGATACACATGCCACTGGCAAGAGACAGATACCTTAGAAAGAAAGTCTGCAGCCTTAGCATGCCGCAGGTTTAAAGATATACATTCTTTTGATCGAATAACAGATATCATTCGCGAAATCAATGGCCAGTACAATATATCAGTCGGCAAAATACTATATACCTTAACCGACAATGGATCAAAGTTCGTCAAGGCATTTAGAGAATTTGGAGTTATTCTGAGTAACATGTTGTAAAATCTTGTAAAAAAGGTAAGCATTAATAAATTATTATTTTCGAGAAAAAAGGTGAAAATGAGAGCGACAATGATGATAGCTCCGACGATGATAACCAGTCAGAATACTCCAGCCCTGACTTTCACAATTATACACCAATTTTGTCAAAGCATTTTCGATGTGCTAGCCATACGCTCAACCTTTTGGCCACTACCGATTTTATAAAAATATTAGATGGCTCAACAAACCAGGCAGTTCATAGCATTCATAAACAACGGACTTTCAACAGGTTAGAAATAAAAATTCGAGCTTAAATTTATTAAGGGTACTCATTTAAAGGTGCAAAACTCTCGAAAACTGGACAAACTGTGCAATTTTAAACCCTCGCAAATGAAATATCAAAATTTGTATGGAAAGTCTGTGCAGCGTGCTGTGCAGCCCTCAATCAGCTATTTTGATGAATACCTTTATTATATGTGTATTAACTTTTTACATTTTACTTAACACAAGTGTACAAAACTACGGAATAAATGTAATAGGCCAAAATCATCGGAAATAATAAAAACAGTTTTATCTTCGTATCTGGTTACGGCCTTGTATTACAAGATGGAAGTCACTGTATGATTTGGTTCAGAAGCTAATAGAAGTCAAAACCAGATTAGGTGAACTATGCTCAAAAATGGTTTATTTTGAATAAATTTCTTTATACTGCTTCAGCTTTAATAGTCTTACTTTTATTCTTCAGCAGTGTTATGTTACTGACGATGAATAATAATGTTAATTATCACTAAAGGTTTTCACTATCACTAAATATTTAGTGGTAGTGCAATTTTTTTCACTATCACTAAAAATTTAGTGATAATGTAATAATAATGTTAATTACCACTAAAGGTTTTCCTAAATATTTAGTGGCAGTGCATTTTTTTTCACTATTACTAAAGATTTAGTGGTAATGTAATTTTTTTTCACTAGCACTAAATATTCAGTGATAATGAAATTCGTGTTTTAACTATCACTGAAGAAGTAGTGGTAGTGAAACGCTTATTGCATTTATTTTTTAGTGCATTATGCCCAACCCTGGTCATAATACAGAATCATTATTGTATACATTAACCCATTTACGGTCGTTAGAGCACCACTGTTAAAAAAAATCGTCTTAAAATTAGTAAACATATTTTTTGCAATAATGAATAATTTTTTTCTAGAATTTATTTATTTTTTCTACCTTGGCCATAAATGGGTTAATTGGTGATGCGACAAGTCTAAGTATCGAGGGATTCTTGGAGTTGATTTTAATTTTTAAAGTTATTTTTTGAGATTAATTTTAAAGCATTGGAATCGATTCTCAAAAATGAAATCAATTCATAAGAATCAAGTCTATTCAAATCTGATTCGATTTTAATTGATACCAAAAGTTGCCGATACACCTAATACACAAAAAAGATCATAATTTTATCTTGATTAATTTATGAACAAATTTGACAAAAAAATTAAACTATTACCTGTTAAATTGAGAAATTGTCTTCAAAAGTTAGACTACAGGAAAACCATAGTTGATGTCATTATATTGCTGAACAAAATAACTTTCTTAAAGGTGTTTGTAATTTCAGTGCATGTTTAACTGGTGCACAACTGAGACAAATCGGTACTATCTATACTTTTAAAGGATTGGCCTCACCTAAAATACAAAAAAAAATATTAGATAAAAATATATCTCACATTTTATACCTATAGAAATGTATTATTATAACTAATCAGAAGTAAATGGCCTATTATGTATTTTTTATCTATCATAATGATAGATTTAGGTGGACACACTATTTATGAATATATGGCATTATATTATAATTGTTTATAAATTAAACAACAATTCAAGCTAAGGAAGAGTTACATAGCCTTGATGTCACAGGAACCGCCAGCTAAAGTAGTATTAGGGATTATGCAATTTCAGTGAAATGAATAAATAAAAAATTAAAATTAAGCTAATTATTCAAATAGTATACCTTGGGCAGCTCGTAAACGATTTTTAAATTCTTCTTGACAATTCCCTAAGGTAACACGAATTATTCTCTCAAGTTCTTCTAGGATTCTGATTTTTTGTTCATTAGAAGTATTTGGTCTAGTGGTGTAAATTTAAAGGAAGAAGTACAGCAGAGTCAAATCGGGCCTCTTCTCCGAATCCATCAATTGGAAAATAATTGGTTTAAATATACTCGAACAGGAAGGGCATAGTGTAGAGGCGCTCCGTCTTGTTGGAGAAATCACTGCTGCTAGAATTGAATTTATTTATTTATACATAATACATTTACTATTATAAAATAATATAAGTTTCTTGTCATTTTACACTTTTAATACAAATTCTTACCTGTTCCATGCCGACATCTAGTTCTTAATAATCTTCGAAATGCAGAATTGAAAATCTGCTTCTTTTTTGTTCTTATTCGATGACAATTGACGGATGTTTTGACATAAACGTTACAAGAGACATTCCATATGCAACATTTGTACATTTCTACACCGCTGTTTACGCAAAAACTGTTAACACCAGAACTGTTAACCGTTTTGGAGACCAACTGTCAACTTCAATGGAAATCAGAATGGCGGCCAGATGTCAAGTACGAGCAAGGTTGCCAGGTCTCACGATTTATCGTGTGATCTCATGACATTACTTTTAATCTCACGATTTGACATGTACTTCTCACGATTTTATTACAAAAATAATATAATAATTTAGTGTTAATAAAATCAAAGTAAAATCATAGCATTTTCAACTCGAATTATAGATTACTGTAAATTTCTCTATTAGTTACATATATTCGCCGCTAGATGGCGCTAAGAAATTACTTAAACTGTAATATTTTATTTCCTTTTAATTATATCATTTTTATATATTAACGTTATCTAAACTATTTTACTTGAATCCTATGCCTATATGTAACACGTATTATTAAAATTGAGTGATTTTTAAACAAATTTCAACATCTCACGATTTTTTATGACATGGCTCACGACCATTGAGGTCTTATATGTATACAGGTGAGTCAGAAAGAATGGAAAATCCGAATACCGGAGACACTAGACACCAAAATATGACGATTTAACCTAACATGTCTTATTCAAATGTAGGTGGTTTTTATACACAGGGTGTTCAAAGTTAAATTTTTATTTCGAAATTTCTTGATAATTTTGAAGGTTTTTGTACTATTAACATAAAATGTTTTCGAGCATGAGAAATACGAATTTGATATTTGTTTTGTGATTACTCGTAGAGGACGCTAGATACACACTGTACGTTTGAGATATCAAGTCCATGAGTTTTCAATTCCACACAAAAAATGTTCTCTTGCTTACATTGTGTAAATTTACTAGTTTCCAAGTTATCTTAATTGTTTCAAAGTAATTTTAAGGTTAACATTTAAAATCAATAACACACAGTAACGATAGCAATTAGTAACGATAATAATCGATAACAATAACAATTAATTAATAACAATAGAATATTGTGACCATTTTCAAAAATCCAGTGGACTTAAATCTGGATTTCTCGCTGTTAAAAAACTCATTATGTCGTGGCATTTTCAAATTGGTAATAACTTTATTGTTGGTAAAAATGATTATTGCACACGGAAATTAGATCAATGTTGACAATTAATAGGCAATTGTCGAAACATAAGCAGAAAAATAACCCAACTTTGCTTATGTTAAAAAATAAAAATTTTAGGAAATGAAATACATTTAAACATTTAAAAGTAAATAATTCGAAAACCGATAGACTGAGACAATTTCAATATGTTTTATACCAAAATAAACTTACTTGAGAATGAAGAACTTTTCGAACTGAACGATAAACACTTACTTGAATTAAACTAAACTTTATTTTACTATTTGGAGTTAAGTAATAACATTTGAGAAATAATGCTAGAGAAGAACATTACGAATTTAAGTTTTTAATTAGTTTTAACACGGCTGAGTTTTACAATACCATGTTCATCCTTTTCTTTTTAACAAAACCCAAAAATTCTTGAACTTGTACACAAAAAAAGAAACTCGTCTAGAGAGGGAACACAATACAAGAATAAATTAATGTGGAAACTGGATGTTGTGGGAGAAAAATAAAACACACACACACAATAAATCGATATTTAGTTCTTTCTAACCTCAAAAATACACCACTTTTGGTCAAACATCAACGTCTCTCTCTCATTGCTA